GTAGGTAGTAGGTAGTAGGTAGTAGGTAGTAGGTAGTAGGTAGTAGGTAGTAGGTAGTAGGTAGTAGTAGTAGTAGTAGTAGTAGGAGTAGTAGTAGTGGAAGTGGTAGTGGAAGTGGAAGTGGTAGTGGTAGTCGTAGTGGTGGTAGTGGTAGTGGTAGTGGTAGTGGCAGTGGTAGTGGTAGTGGTAGTCGTAGTCGTAGTCGTAGTAGTGGTGGTGGTAGTAGTAGTAGTCGTAGTAGTAGTAGTTAGCAGTTAGTAGTTAGTAGTTAGTAGCTCTAGTAGTAGTAGTTTTAGTGGTAGTAGTTATAGTAGTAGTAGTAGTAGTAGTAGTAGTTGTAGTAGTAGTAGTAGTAGTAGTCAGTAGTTAGTAGTTAGTAGTTAGTAGTTAGTCGGTAGTAGCTAGTATTTAGTAGTTAGTATTTAGTAGTTAGTCGGTAGTAGGTAGTAGGTAGTAGGTAGTAGGTAGTAGGTACTAACTTGGGAGGTTTTTCTGGTACCCAACTAGACAATTAGGGAAGAAATCAGCAACCAATACTACTTTTAATTTGGTCAATGTTCGGGTGCTTTGTGGCCTCGGATTAACTAGGGGAGGTTTATCAATCACGATTTCGTATTACATCCAAGGAGGGGCTAGCACAACCTATCCTGGGTAATTCACAGGGGACGTCTATACAATATAATCTAATACACACACATACATATATATATATATATTTGCTGGTTCAGGTGGGCATGACTATCCCTGCGGACAAGATCCCAGACTTGGACAAGAAGGCTGATTTGTTCAACGAATGCTCTCAGCAATGGCAACACTCGTTCTGATCTGAGACTATGTGTTTTTTTAGGTTCAGGATGCTGGCACGGTGGTTGTCGCGGCCAAGAATGGAGCCGCCCTTATTGGGTTTGCTTTTAACCCGTGGTCAAAATCATTCGTGAGCATCCACATGAGTCTTGAGGAAAGGGCAGCGCCACCTTATCCATGGCCTATGCCGGAGCACGCTTGGGCAAGGCGCTGTGGGAAGCAGTTTTCGCCAACAATTTTTTCAAGGAGCAGCTGGAAGTGTAGATTCACCACAAAACAGGTTAGAAAAGAGCAGTTTTTACTTTTGACAAGACGAAGTGTAGACCCAAATTGTATGTTTTTATACGCAGTTTTGATATGTCCTCCAAAAAGACCCACTGGGCTCCACAGGCTGTCCTGGCCGGCCTGAATGGTGAAGTGGTCACCGAGTCCCTCGGCCAGACGAATGGTTCCACTCAACAGCGAAAGGACAAACACATGGGGACTTTACTGTTGTTTGTTCCTGTGTATCACCCTGTATCCCCTAGAATTCCACAGATATTGACATCAGAAGTGGCGAAGCCAAGCAATGTGCAACACGTTTGCAGAGATTTGGAGAGCCTTGGAGTTGTTTTGTATTTGATTGTCTTGCGCGACATTTCTATTCTACACAATGCCCAATTTCTTTGCCAACTCGTAAGCATACTTCAGAAGCCCTCGTTCTGGTTAGAGAGGGCACTCGTTTCAGAAGCCATTTCAGATCCAAGGGCGCACCACGCTAGCCACGTCCCCTGTTTCGCCTGTCTGAGATGCGCCTACGTGGAATCGAAGATCACTGACTTGCCCTACTTTGCTTCCAAGGTGCACACGGGTGTTTATTTGACCAGTGAGAGCCCTACTAAAGCAACAGGCTTTAGTCTATGAAGGAACTTGAACAGCACACACACACACACACTGGAAGCATAGGGAGTGCGGAACTCGTTCTGAGTTCCAGGTGACTTTTGGCAAGCAGGGTGTTGAAACTGTCCACCCCTTGGGCGACCTCAACGACTACGACGCTTGGACGAGTCCACTCCACACGGCCGTTCTCTCTCTCTCTCCGCGACGCGCGCGCTCCCTCTGGGCCCAGGAACAAGGCCGCCTCAAGGCGCTTCTGCCCGTTTTGAAGGAGGAGATCGAAGCTGGCCTTGACTATGCCAAGGACACTGGAAAAGACAACCAAACATGTGAGAGTTGGCACATATATACACAGATGCCATCATAACTGAATTGTGGTAATGCACTCCTGCAACTGAACTTGTGCTTCTCTGAGCTCTATTCTATTCTAAGTGTGTGTGTGTGTGTTTAAAACCGTTTCTCCACAACTTGACTGGGCATGTCGCTGCCCCTTCCGATGTCGTGGGCTGCCACATAGGTCAACGAGTTTGCCACGGGTGAACCGAGAAGCATGCTCTGAGTTCAGGTTTTGTCGTCGAAGAGTTCCAGTTGGTTTGAATGAATGCATGGGGATGATGGACTGATGCAAACTTAGAAACCGAAACATCCCAAGATGTGAATGATACATCAGATGTAGCCCTGGCAGAACAATTCCTCTCAGATGTGTGCCCCAAATTCAAACCAACGATAGGTTTGTGAAAAATCCATTGGCCTGCCAAACCACATTTCGATGGCTGCCAGAGCTGCTCACCGTTCTGTCTTTATAGAGGCCTTAAGGCTGATGTAAACTTGAGCTTGAAACGGCAAGCAGCTTCTTTGTTTTGCACGGACAGCAAGGAGTCCTTTCTCGTACTTTCAGGCCATGTGTAGATGGGAGAGCATTTCATACATGAGCAACCGCCAAAAAGGTGCAATGACTAGTCTAGTAAAGAGCGGTCGTGAATTTCATGAATTTGAATAAAACCTGCAACAGCGATAGGCCCCCTTCAAAAGATAACCAAATCCCCGCAGTTTTTTACATACACCGAGCTATGTTGACATTGTTGCTAAAGCCTGCAAAAGCGATAGGCCCCCTAAAAAGCGATGATAATCTTGCTGAATCATGTCCTCTTTGGCAGATACTAATGTGGGTTCTGGTATATCAGAGTAAACACCGGGAGTTTCTGATCAGCTCTCGATAAAGACAACCAGATTTGATGGGTTTGGACGGTTTGGCAGTAATGGATGTTTGTGTTCGTGGCAAGGCTTTCTGAACAACATCAGTAAGTCGGGCGCAAACATGGATGTTTTGGCATGCTGGAGGCATGCAGCTTTTAACTCACCCCGCGCTTCAGGAGAACGACTTCGCATGAGGGGATGGCCGAATCTCGCCCAGCGGCTCCATCGTGCCAGGGACGAGAGCACCATTAAACTTTTGTCAAAACCGTGGGGTGACACATGCAATCTGGGTGGTTGGAGAATGCAATCAGTAACAAGCAAACTGCCCACTTTGAGCAAGCTCGGGGTGCCTGGCCATGTGTTGGAAGTTGAGCGCCCTTTTGTTGGCTCGTCTGACTGGAGCTATGATGCGAGAGAAACAGGAGCTATGATGTGAGCTTGCTTTGCTGCTTCACGAGCTAGCGATCTACACATATCCCCACGTCATTTTGCGATCTGATTTAGATTGATCTTCAAATGGGAGCCTATGATGAGCATGTATCCAGGATGCATGTTCAACTCATTTGTAAATGAAGAATCAAGCAGGGAGCTGGAGTCCCAATCAAGAGTGGCTCAACCAAATGTGTACACAGATGTACACAGAGAGTTCTGCAATTCTCAGACTGCAAAAAACTCCGAACAGTTTCAGTTCCCAGACTGAAAAACGTCAGAACACGTTCTCAGACCGGACAGGGTTTTGGACCTTAACTTCTCCTTTTTCATTGTCCAAGTCCCAGGTCACGTCCACTGCGGAAGCGGCGACAAGCAGCGACCCTGGGTCATATTGCTTTGTTGATGTCCAAGTAGCAAAAGACGTTTGTGATCGTTTGTGTCTTGTGTTCAAGCCGAGCACATTTTTCATCAGAGCACAACGCCGCACACACACAAGCCAGTGGTTTTCAGATGTTTCCTTGATTCAGAAGGGTTATCGACCGTTTGTGTTTCAATCAGCTTTTCGGTCCACACACCAAAACGTTTGGTGCTAAGGTGCGCCTGCCAAGACCTTCGACGTTTCGATGGCGAAACATGCCGTGCAAAAAAGGAATCGCTCGCTCTTTTGGTGGAGTGGAACGTTTGTCGGCTGTCGGTTATTTTGTTGGGTCACGGAATTTCAGGTTGAGGTCTTTGGTCTTAAACACCCTCCAGACTCCAGACTCTCAAAAAACCTTAGAACAACAACCATTGTAGTTGCACGTGATGACTGTTTTCCCCCCCCAAACAGGAACTGTAGGTTTTTGTTGCTCAAAGGATGGGCGTTCTGTCCACCGTCTCCGGACGCTGGGCCGCACCCAATTCCCGAGGTCTAATATTCTTCATAAGGACAAGAGGTGTGCCAAGAGCCATGCACAATGGACGGAAGACTCACCCTTGTGGTTTCGAACGTCGTGTATCAAAGGCACCGCAGCAGACGTCTGCTGCAAATCGCTAGTCTGCATATGACGTACGCATAGGATTGCACAAAGCATGTTCGGTTCCATTCACGACTAAGTTTGTTGCTGCAGTGCACTAAAGTTGTTGCATGCAAACAAATCTACGCTGCGCAAAAAGTTTCAAAACGTTTGTGCTGTGCACACCACCTTTAGTGACTTTAGTGTACAGTGGACAGAACTTCCTCATCCTTAATGCTCTTGCTGAGACCTGTGCGCAAAAAGTGCACCTCGACATCACTTGTCGCCCTGACGGCCATAGATTGGGCAGTGAGCCCATGATTTAGACTTAGTTCCTTTGGGATTTGAGGGAGTGCAGGAATGTTTAGGGTTTCTGCAAAAAGGTTCTCTTCCAAGAACTGGTGAAACTGAGTGGCACACGTGGCACAGTACAGCACAGCAGCCTGGCCAGGCTTTCAGGCCAGCAACTGATGCACTTGGGAGCTCAACTCAGACCTGACAACGATTGTAATGTAGACACATATTGGCTGTGGGTCAGAACCTGGACCTAATCCTTGGTAATTGACCCACTGCCATAATATCAAGGTGCGCACATCCATGGTGCGCTACGTGATCATTGCTCTCCTCTACCAGTGAGTAGCAGAGTTGAATTGCATGAAGCAGCAGCTTTATTCACCAAACAACCAGCATAGGCCCCAAGCAGTTTGGAACCGTTTTTCTCTGCACAGGAGAACCACGCGCCTTGTGAACACAATTGTTGGTCCCAACGCACAGTGTGTTTGTGGTGCTATGCTCTTGCGGTTCATAAGGCAACTCAACAGGCCATCATATGCGCACCGCCCACGCAATGCTGACACTGACTGTGATCAGGTCTGATCAGGAAGGCTGCAGACATTGCGGCAAATGCGAGCCACACCAGCTTTGAGGGACAAAAACCGTATGGCAAACACCCAGCAACAGTGAGACTTGACGTCATCTCCACTCATTTGCAATATGGGGCACGGAACACTGCCCACTGTACGCAGCAAGGCTGCAGCTCAGACTCAGGAATGGACACAGGATCGACAGTGAGATCCTGAGATCCTAGGAGCAACAACGATTCCCTTTTGTATACTGTTGTCGATGATCTCATCCTGCTCCAAAAGCACCGATGATCGATGGATCTTTTGTGGACGAAAGCCTTCAACCCCCCCTTCAGCGACAGAGGTCAAACAGAAAAAAAAGAAACATCGAACAATGAGTGATGAACAGCCCGTCGAATCGAGCACTGTGTCATCACTCCTTGCTTAGTCGGACACTTGATGACTCGATTCGACACCAAGATCGCACTTTTCATTAATGAAAGCCAGATGTCGGCCTCTTGCAGGCAAGCAAAAGGAGAAGAAAGCCGCCCATTTAGCTGCAAGCTCAGTGAGCCGACCAAGTGAGCCCAGCATGATCGCAGAAGGGGTATGATGTGTGAATGCAGCGTCACGTGGCTCAATAGAAGAGAACAATGGCAGAAAAAGATTTGACAAATATGTTTGATGCAACAGAATCTTCACAACTTGTCGTGCTGTTCCTTTTTCGCAACTACATAGCTAGTTTTTGCAAACACAGCTCATTCGTTTTCAGAAACAAACGGCTCATGAGCTACGCTGCCAAAGTGGAAGCCAGCATTGCTTCCAGTGCAGCGGAATCAGCTCCCAGGCACGGTGCCTGCGTGGGTTAGTCGAGAATTAAAACACATATATAATGTAGACACTTGATTAATGACCCCCCCTTTGAAGAGGATTTTCAATTCAAACGGGGGTGGGTTTATTAGTCAAGAGTCTACATTATATGTGTTTCCTTTTCCTTCTTCCCAAGGGGTTGTGGTTACTTGGGAGGTCTCCACTCTTCTGAGGGGCGTCCCACGTGAGGCGTGCTGAGCAGCTGAAATGTTGCTTGCAAGACTATGCAGATGCACGTGCAAGGGGACAAAGATACGCCCCACAGGAGCAATTCCGCAGAGAAGGTTTCATCCGAATAACACCCTGTCAGCTTGCTGGCTTCTCGATTCGATGATTTGGATCGATGGCAGCATCCCTTCACTTGCATGATTGTGCATGGATTGGCATGGCTTTGTGAGGATGTTGCGTGGATGCAAAATGAGCTTCGATATTTGGAGCGGCTCCTGGCAGCCCTGCCAGCCAGTGAGCTGAGGAAAGAGGCAGCCAGTCTAGACAGTGCTTGGTGGGTATCGGTATATCTTCCGAGGGAATCTGTGGAGAACCCCCGAAGCATCTTGTTTCATTTGTCGTCGATTTTCATGGAGGATCTCCATGTTTTTGCACAGCAAGGACCATCCACCCACTATATGCTCCACTTATGGAGCAAAACGTACAAAGACCCCCAAATAGATAGAAAAGTAGATCCCCATTTAAGATCTTTGGGGACCACTATAATGCAATTGATCATGTGCAACTTCCACTGGCTGCGCAGGTTGCACACCTCCGGCGTACCTTTGATTCCCTGGGCTCCAGTCGTGCTCTTGACACGGAGGCTGAACATGGGGAACAGCGGGATGCCGCGCTGGCGCTGCAAGATACAGACGCCTCCTCCAAATCTTTGCAGCACCTTGCAAGCTTTCTATACCCGCAAAAAGAGCCTCGCAAAGCAGAGGATGAGGTTCGAGTTCTTTCTGCAGAAGCCACCTGTCAGCAAGCTACATAATTTTTGGTTGCTCGTGGCATTTCTTGGCTGCACTGCTATGAACAAACATGAAACAACTATATAACTAAATATTTTACATTTCTTGTGATACCTTCACAGGAGGGCTTTGAGCCTCAATATTTTTTGAACTAAACATGATGTGTTGCAAAACCTAGGATGAAAGAATCACGCAATTTTGGGGTAAAGCTGTTGGAAGTCAATCAACATCTCTGTGGCTTGTAAGATCGCGTTTGCTTCAGATCCACCCCAGGGCTCCCTATCCTCAGAGCTTTGCCAGCACCCCGTTCTGACCTGCGTGGAATCCGATCGGACCATTGTCATGGGTAGCTTTGGCCAACTGGTCTCCTGGTCCGAAGAGGACGGGTTCACGGAGACCGGACGGTAGGAGCATGGCCTTGTGAACGACCGGATCGGTGGCGAAGCACTGACCACCCAAGGAAGCACTGACCCTCCCTGCAACAATCAGTGGAAGTGGACAACCCCCGCAGAGTAGAGGAACGTAGTCTTCCAATGGGGCCATTGTCCAGTTCCATGATTGTTTCAGAAGTGTATATGTTATATATGTTTGGGAGTCCAAGTTGAGGCCACAATAACTGACAAGAAGAATCAAAGCACGATAAGCACGTGTCCATGACGGTTGTCACGATTGGAACATCATTCATGATCCGTGACTCAGAGAGCAAAATACAGGATGATGCCGCTGAACAAGCGCGAGAGCGAATGGCCCTCCTGGAGCTTTCACAAGCCGGAGTCAATTTGCTGGAGTTCACTCACTTCATCACTGAGAAGCTGGAGCAGGATCAGGAGACGGTCGGGAGTGAAAAACATCGGAACAGCCGACGACATCTGGTGGTAACGCCTCGCCGCAACCTGCGACGATCTACGACTTTTTGGAGTTGTGTATGACTGTAGGACTCAGTATGATGTCGCTGTTTCATCAGCCTGCAGGAGACCTTGGATCTGGTGGAAGAAAAGGTGGCCCATGCCAGGGACGCGACGCAGGAAGCAGCAGCTTGGTGTTGGAATTCCTATGACCCCTTAGGGCTGTTGAATGCTGTTGATCTCTCGTTGGGTTTTGTCTACGCCCGCTGACGACGTCTTCTCCGTCGCCGTCCATCCTGAGGTGGTGACCCTTGCGGGCACAGCTGTCGACGAAGACCGGGAGAGGCGAGGCGCCTGGCGAGACTGTTTCACGGGCGCTTCCCACGGGTCGCGGCAGCAGCGCCGCGTGTTTGATGCGCCGAATCCGACTGCGGGGCTTGGTCATGAGCTAGCTGATCAAAACATAACATGAAGGAATGTAGCCGGAGAGCCTTTTTGTCGAGCATCGTAGCAACCAAAGCTGATCGGTGGAAGATGGTGGAACGGTTTTCAGTGCTATGCAGCGTAGGCGGATGCTGCTATGGCCTTCAGCCGGCTTGGTGATGCTGGGTGGCTTGGTCTTCTGTACTTGCCCTGGTGCAGCACCAGCATTGCTTTGTGCTGCTGGACGAGGCTGGCATTTACAATAGGTCTGAGGTAGAGGTAGCAAAGTCCAAGCTTGCGATTGGAGGAGATTCTGCTGTCTGAGTTGACATGAATTCATGTTTCTATAACTGTTTGCCAATCGCACTTTTGCTCAGTTTCATGGACCTTCAGGTGCCTTGGTGGTGGGAGCCACGGTTGGTTCAATGAGAACTTTGAGCAAGTTTCAGAAGCAGATCATCACTCAGATTCAGGATTGTTCTAAGAACTAAACGGCTGAGGCACAATCTCAAATCTGCATTTTCAGCAGCCGTGACTTCACGTTTGTGTGTGAGTGTGCGTGTGCGACACACGCATTGCATGTCACCGGCAGGAGCAACTACCTCGCGTCTTCCAAAAGCTTCCGGCGGACCAGGTAAAGATGGAAAAGCAACGTATATGGTATACGGTTTTTGTCGTTTGTAGAGCTGGTGCTGGCACAGCATAGCTGCAACATCAGGCCAGCATGATCCGGGTAGCCTGTGAAGATGCCAATGACAGGTCCCTTCAGCAGTTGTTCCTTCAGTTGTCCCGAGCTTCAATTGGAGATTTCTTCGATCTATACTTCTCTTCGATCGAGGCTGCAGAGCAGGTTGAATGATGGTGCTTGGAAGGAGGACAAAACGCGGTGAAAACCCCGTGCATCGCGCGACCCGAACCGTTGCGGGTCGCACGTTCATGTTCGGTTCCAGGAGTCTCTTTTTTCCAAAGTGAAGAACTTTGCGACTTGGAGCAGTGATTCCAGAGATTTCAACCAGTTCTGGAGACCCTTGAAAGGGGAAGTAGGTACAAGAGACATCAAAAGAATCAATTGCTGGTATTTTGTAGACATGGCCCTGTCCACCTGAGGATTTCCAAGCTCCGGCCAGGGAGGCGAGGCCCGGCTTTGTCTCGGACCGGTGAAGAGGGCCGGCCCCTCGGAGCTCAGTCCGCCCAGGTCGGTCAGGGGCTTGAAGTGAGATGGAGCCCTTCGCAGGCGCGAAAAGGAGGCCATGCATATTTGGTCACCTTCACTGCGCAGGGCTCAGACCACCGACACCAGTTTACGACGTTCTGCTTAAAGAAGACGAGAAGGGCGGACGGTTTTCGGGCAGAAGAGCCGGATGTGTTTCAGGTGGATCTCGCTGCAAGCCGTGCTTTCAGAGTGATTCAACGGATGATGCTGACTGGATCTCTAGATCCTGGATGCAAGGCCCTTTGAGTGGATCAATGGATGATGCAGATCGTTGCACTGTCGTGCTTTCTTGCGCACGACTGTGTTGGAAGGTGATGTGGTCACGACCTGTGGACACGACGTCCAGACACAACACCCACTACATACGCCTCTTAGTCAAAAGCTGCTTAGGAAAGAGATGAAAGGGTAGCTAGAATAAGGAAAGGATAGAAAACTGTCAGAGGTCCGCGTCAGCCGCTTAAGTTTCTTTGATACCGTTTCAATGATGAGGATACCTCGCCTTCGCAGAATGGTTCTTTAGCCGTCCGTGGCTAAGCTGCCACACTTGTTGACCACAAGTTGACTGAGCTGCTTTTCAGCATGGACGCCGAGCTGCAGGTGATTTTTGCACGGCCTGTCACTGTGGGCCGGTGGCCAGCCAAACCCAAGAAGAATGCTGCTTGGAAAGCACACTAGTTCGCACGTCGCACACTTCGAAAGCCCTACTAGACACTACACCTTCCTAAACACCAAGACACTTCTGCGATTCTACACCCTACCCTGAAAAGGCTCAAAAGGCTCAAACCGCATTTGGTCTCGCACTTCTCTCTCTCTCTCTCACAGACTAAAAATCAGGTTTTGCCTAGCCACACATGATACACAGATGCGACAGATGATACACTCACAGACATTTTGGCAGCCATTCATATTTCGGGATTTGAGGCTATACTCTGGCAACCAGATCTATGAGTCCATGGCTCAACGAGAGAACTGAGGTGTGCACTGAGGTCAGATCGGACTTCGGCGCATGTGGTCGAAGCGCTTGTTCTTCCAGCAACCTGACCGAGGTCAGCAACTGCTAGAGCTCGAAGGGATGCCCAAACCCACCGGTGCCCTTTGGCCAGTTTGCTGTCACTCAGTCACTCAGTCGCCCAGTCTGGAAGGAGCGTGCGAAGGTGTCCCCCTCATCACATGTGCTTAGGTGCCCCCCCGACGTAAGCTTAGCATGTGCTCCCTCACGCCAGGAGAGGTCGGCGCGGTCATCGAGGTGCCGATTCCGGTCGCCCGAGTCGACGGACGCAGCTCGACGGAGTCGACGGAGCTGCGTTTCGATGCCCCTCCCCAGGTCATGGGCGTCCGGCTCACCGGTGGCGATGCGCAAACGAAGGTGGAAGTCATGGCGGATGTGGATCCTGCGGCTCCTTTGGTGTACCTCACGTCCATTGTGAACAAGAGGATCAGGTCCTGAAATTTTGAATGTTTGGACCACTTCGTGCTTAGCAAGAACATTTGCATAGCAGGGGTTTGGATTACTCAAAAACCTTCACCTTTGAGGTCCATGATTCCTTGTTTCTAGTAGCAAGGCCAGGAGCCCCTAGTAGCGTCCTTGCTCCTAGTAGCGATGCCCTTTGCTCCTAGTAGCGTCCTTGTTTCTAGTAGCAAGGCTAGGAGCCCCCAGTAGCGTCCTTGCTCCTAGTAGCGATGCCCTTTGCTCCTAGTAGCGTCCTTGTTCCTAGTAGCAAGGCCAGGAGCCCCTAGTAGCGTCCTTGC